CCGGGTGTCCAGTGCTGCCCCGCACCTGCTGCTCCAACACCTGTCCCCGCTCCAGGGCTGCGTCTCGGGCCTCCCGGGTAGCCACCAGCTGCCGCCGGGCTTCCATGCACTCGCCCAGAGTTTCCTCCAGCTGCTGGTTAAGCCGGGCGATCTCCTTCCTGAGCAGCACAGTCTTGGGGGGCCCCTCGAGAGGGTGCAGGGCCTGGGAGCCCCCAAGCTGGGCCTGTAGTCCCCGCACGTATTCGTCTCGGCTGGCATCATACCGCTGCCACCTGGCATTGAGGTCCTCCACCTGGGGGACACTTGTGCTCACAGCCACCCCAGGTACCACATGACCCCACACCCCCACAGCCCTTCTCAGCACCAAGGCTCCCCAAGCAGGGCCTGGCCCTCAAACCAGAGGTGGGGTGCAGGTAGCAGCCACGCTGAGTGTCCGTACAGTGGGAAGGAGGACCAGCCAGGAGGACGCCCCAGGGGAGGGACGCCCCACCGTCCTCTTGGGGACAGACTCACATAAGCAACCTTCTCCTTCAGCAGTCGGTTTTCTTCCCGCAGTGTCGCCAGCTCGACGGTGTCCCCACTGGGCGCCGGCTGCAGGAGGTGGGACAGAGGACAGACACTTGGTGTCACCGTGCTCGCCACACACTGTCCCAGGAGGGCAGCATCGGGCACTTGTCACCCACCACAGGCCGGTCAGAGGCCTCCAGTGCCTCGGTGGTGGGCACACAGTCAGTTCACTGAGCTGCGCTGACCGAGAACCTGGCCCCGGAGCGGGAGCTGTGTCACCCTGCGGCCACCCAACCTGCCTGGACTGTGACCTGGGCGGGGGTGTGCAGGCCACAGCCATGCTGACACTGCCCTGTCCACTGAGCCCCCAGCGTGAACATTCAGAGTAGAATTCTCCTTAGACGCACGGACGGGGACACTTCATCTCAGATACAAGTCGGCAGGAGGGGCCGTCATGCATGGCAGAGCAGCGGGGCAGGGAGGAGAGGCAGACCCTCAGTGGCCGCCTTGATGCCGCAGAAGATGGAGATGGCAGGGGCAGGGCGGTGAGACACCTGGCCGTATGTGGGGTCCCCCTGCCCAGGAACCAAGCCGATGCCCCTCATCACCCCACAAGGCCATAAGGGCATCCCGGTCAGCACCACACCACTGCCACCTGGCATTCATGTCCTCCATGTGAGGGACAGCTGTGCTCAAGGTCACCCCAGATGGCCACGTGACCCTGCACGCCCACAGCCATGACCTCAAACCTGATTGGACCCCTCCCCTCCACTGGACACGGAGGCTCTCCAAGAGGCCTGGGCCCCAAACCAGTGTTGGGGTGCAAGGTGGCGTCCAGAGAGCGGCGGCACAATGGTAAACGCACTTGGCTGCTAACTGAAAAGTCAGGGGTTCGCACCTACCAGCCGCTCCAGGAAAGGAGGACTTGACAAGCAGTTTCTGTAAGGATTATCACCCCAGCAGCCCAAGGTCACTGCGCTGAACTCGCCTTGATGCCATCGAGCCACAAGGCCGTGCAGGGACCCTCGGGGGGCAGTTAGCACAGTCTGCTCCTGAGTTTGGGTTCAAGTTCACGGGAGCACCTCAGACCTAACCACCCTCTATGGTCACCTGGAGGCGAGCCGGGCAGATGGCCACTGACTGCCCACAGAGGCTGCAGGCGCCCAGGCAAACCGCTCTCTTCAGGGACTATGACGTGACCGCTGTGGCCAGCTGCCTCCCTCGGGCCTGTGATTCCTCCCAGTCTGCAGGCAGCACCGTCCAACAGTGGTCACGCTGGTGGCATCAGCTCTGTCCCATCAGCCACCCCCAAGGCAGCCGATGACAGAGGACCTGACAGGAATGTCCTCACAAGGTGGGAGCCTGCCCCCAGAAGTCCAGGGAATGCCCACACCTGCTGTACACCACACGACAGGGGCCATGTGGCAAGCCACAGGGGAGGCACGGGACTGAGACCCCAGCTGGCACCCTCTCCTGGATGCGGCCCCATCAGGCCGCTGAAGCTCGGTCCCCTCCCCAAGACCCCCGTCCACAGGCTTGGCTCACGGGGGACTTTCTGACAAGGAGGGGTGTACGAGCTTCTCCCTCAACATCAGTAACGCTGGTCTCCGTGTGGACCCAGATGCTGTCTGGGGGGCTGAGGGTGCATTCACAGGAGGACACACGTCCCTTCCCCAGCTCTGCTGGCCTCTTCAGCTGTCAGACCCAGACAACTGGAACAAGGGTGGACAGACGGTGGAAGATGCCAGCTTCAGCTTGCACAGGCTGGGGGCCACTCTCCCCTCCCTCCTCCAGCCATGCACCCCAACCCTCCTGCCCAGGAGCCCTTGGTTTCCACCCTGTGTACCTCCACCACAGACTACTCCCTAGGCCTGGTGTGAGGACTCCATGCTGGGAAAGGTGGAGGGTCAGCGAAGGAGAGGAAGACCCCCACAGATGGACTGATGGACTCTGACAATGCGCTCGAGTACGTCAGAGATGCTGAGAATGGGGCAAGACAGGGCAGGTCCAGATCTGAAGTTCACAGGGTCCATCACAGCTGTAGTCAACTCGACAGCACCTGACGTCCTCCACAGCTCTCAGCCCAACCCCATCAGTCCTGGGGTCCAGCACCTCGATTCTGACTCCCAGCAGCCGCGGGGAGGACAGAGCAGAACTGCCCTGGTGGATTCAAAAGGCTACGGCATTTACGGACAAGGCCCACACGTGTGGCTGGTGGCTTTGAACTCCCGACTTCAGGTGAGCGGCTAGATAACCCAGTGTGCCACCACGCTCCTTAGAGAGCGACAGGGTAACACAGGAGCAGGTGGGGCGATGGCATCACGCGCAGAACCCACAAGGCGCCGAACGGGGCCTGCTGGACCTAGGGCCTGCAAGGTGCTGCCCAAGGGGGCCCGGATCTGGCCTCCCAGCCCTGGCACGGAGGGGAAACTGAGTCCCTAAAGCTTTCAGGATTTCCAAGCCAGTGGTGGGGCCTGAACCACGCACCTTGTCAGGAGTCTCCACACCCTGGCCCACTTGCTGCCTCTCCTCCAGGCACCGTGCCAGCTGCTGGCACATGTTGGCGGTGGCAGCCAGCGTCCTCCGAAGCCGGTGAGCCTCCTCGGCCAGCGAGCGGCACAGCACGTCGCCGGCCGCCTGGGCCCGGGCCTGCTCGGCCACACTCGTCCGCAGCCGGGCCACCTCATCCACCCCGGGACACAGAGGCTCCGTCATCCCCCGCGTCTCCTGTCCCGTCTCCAGCTGTTCCTTCAGCCTCTCGATTTCCTGGGAGAAGTTCAAAAGTCATTGATTCTGCGACAAGAAGTAAGTGGAAAAAACACTACTGTGGCAAGAAGGGAGGGAGCTCTGGTGGCCTAATGGGAAGGAGTTGGGCTGGCAACCCAAAGGTATGCGGTTCAAATCCACCAGCTGCTCTGTGGGAGTAAGATGGCCAGTCTCCTCCTGTGCAATTAACCGCCTCTGAAAACACTCTGGAGGGTCAACTACAGGTTGGTTCTGATTCATTGTTACCCACAAAAACAACAGAACAAGAAAGCTAGACAATGAATAAGACCAAAAAGAAGTGATGCTTTCGAATGTGATGTCATCAGAATATCAACAATACAAGGACCGCTGGAAGAGCAGACAGATCCGTCTAGGAAGGTGTGTGGTCAGGGGTCAGGGTGCCCCTTAGAATTGGAATGGCAAGGCAGTCTCCCGCATCTCGGACACACTGTCGGGAGGGACCAGTCTCTGGAGAATGGCATCACACTTGGGAGAGTGAGGTCAGTGAGGAAAGAGGAAGTCCGTCAGCGAGGCAGAGCGGGAGTGTGGCTGTACCCCAGGGTGGGCTGTGAGGGGCAGGGCCGGCACGCGAGGAGGTCCGTGCGGGGCCGGCCAGGGTTCTGTTCTGTTGGATATGGAGTTGTGAGGGGTCAGAGTGAAGGCCAGTTGTGTCAGCTGGCTCACGGACAAGGCTGTCTCCACCTCCTCGGCCTGTCCCCTTTCCTCTTCCCTCAGTGGGTGTCCCTACGTCCAGTGTTAGAGAAAGGGGCTTAGAAATTATAAGGAGTCCCACGGATGAGGGCCTGGCTTTGCACCAAGCACTCGGGCCGCATACTGCTGGGGGGTGGGCTTCCTTCTTCCCCGCTGCTAGGGTGTGTGTGGGACCACCTCAGTGAAGCTCTGACTCCCGGTATTTCAAACTCCAGCAGGACCACCAGGTGGACAGTTTTCAACAGAGACTCCAGAATACCAAAGGCTTGGCTTTCAAAGTTCTCAGCCGCTGAGGACACCATGGGCACCAGAGCAGTGTCTGCAGTACCGGACACCGAGGCCCAGCTGGACGGCCCTGTGGACAGCTGGTGGATGCATGAGTTTGGGCCAGCCGTCAAAGGCACACCACTGTCCTGACTGACATCCCTGGGCCTCCTGGGCTGGTCAGCTCTAGTCCACCTGGGTGTCTATTCTTTCCCTCGCTTTCTGGATCTCCAGACTTCTCTTTCTGATCAGGAAAAAGGTCATCTGGCAGCTCACAGAGAAGAGGGACATCAAGTCAACTGTCACAGCGTCCTCCTCAGACGCAGCAGGCCAGCTGGGTGAGCAGTGACTGAGTCAGCTGAGCTTGTAAGCATCTTCAAAGGTGTCTCCCCACCCAGAGCAAAGGAGGGGGAGGGCAGTCAAGACCCCGTCAGGAGGACTAAAGGACATCATGTCATACGAGGCTGAGAACTAGGAGGTGCCTGGCTCCTGTGTGCTGACCGCTCTGAGAGGGGGGAGAAGAATGTGGAATACAAACTGAAAATCATAAAGAGAACCAGGTTTATTGGTCTGGCAGAGACCGGTGGACCCCTCAAGACCATGGACCTTAGTGTTCCTTTGAGCCAAGAACTGAACTCGCCCCTTAAGGCAACTTCTTGCCCGACAAGAATAAAAAAATGACTTCCACCAAGTCAGAGCGGACACACAGCTGACCGCTAGCTGGTTTTCCGGGCTGTCAACTGGATGGGAGGAGGCTGGCTGGTGGATTTGAACTGCCAGTGGCACTGCCTTTGAGCTGAACCCCTAGGGACCACATCACTAGGACGGAAAGGTGGTCCAGACTGGCCTCATCACTGTGAAGGGGTGACGACTGGACCTCTCTGACCACATGTGTAAGTAGATTGCCAGGCCTTTATTCAGAGGCCATCTCAGTCTGCAAGGTCTGCTGAAAGGTGTTTAACAAAACAGCACTACACGGGCTGCTGACAGGGACATGGCCGCGGGAAGGGTCACTGACTGGAAGTGGAACCCCGTCTCCCGCGGAAGGGATGGGTTATCCATCACCACAAATACTACCCTCCTCTTCCATGGCTTAGATACGACTAGAAACACAAACCCTGTTCCTCTGGCTCCATTCCCGCCAGACCCTTCCTGGACTCCTCTGCTGCTCCTCACATCCGGGGCCCACTGAACCCCTCACCACCCCACAGCCTGGATCTGCCTCTCACCCGGGATCCAGACCCACATGCCACCCCGCCCCTCAACCCCAAATCACCCTCAGCCCACACCCCACTGGGTCCAACGCCACGCCTAGACCTCAGACTCGGCCTCATCTTCACGGGCCCCACATACTGGACCTTGAGGCTCATATCAAATTCCACCCCCCATCCCAACCCTCCTATCCTAACCACACCTCATACAGCCTCCCCTCAGACTCTCTAGCCTGTACCAGACCCAGACTTCATCCAAGACCCCATCCTTACTGTCAGCCCCAGACCCCCACCATGGGCCTTGCTCCACACTCCGAGCCTCATCCGTCCACCAGGAACCCTCCTTTCCTTCCCATCCTCATCTCAGCCCTCATCATCATTCCTGGAACCGCCCCTGCATCGCGGACCCCTCCCCTTAACCCAGACCCACCCCTCATCATCAGATCCTTCCCCTTGGCCAGACTCTCTCATTCCCAGGCCCCGCCCCCACTTCTCTGTCCCC